AATCGATTTTATTTCGCGTCTAATTAGCATAAATTTGCATATTGATGAGGGGGGCGTGGTCAGAGGCGGGGCCGCGCCCCCCCGGCCACCAGCAGGGTCTGGCCGGCCACGAAGGCGGCCTGGGGGGAGACCAGGAACAGCACGGCCTGAGCCACGTCCTGCGGGGAGCCCAGCCTGCCGGGTTATACTGGTTTGTACTGGTTTGGACTGGGAGGGACTGGGAGGGGGAAAAACGGGGGAAAAACGGGGGAAAACGGGCAAAAAATGGGGAAAAATGGGGAAAAAATGGGGAATAAAGGGTTAAAAGTTGGTTAAAAGGGGATTTGGGGTTACTGGTTATACTGGGAGGGACTGGGAGGGACTGGGAGGGGGAAAAATGGGGGAAAACGGGGAAAAACGGGCAAAAAACTGAGCAAAAATGGGGAAAACGGGGAAAAAATGGGGATAAAGGGTTAAAAATGGGGAATAAAGGGTTAAAAAGGGGGAAAATGGGATTTGGGGTTACTGGTTTGTACTGGGAGGGACTGGGAGGGACTGGGAGGGGGAAAAATGGGGGAAAACGGGGAAAAACGGGCAAAAAACTGAGTAAAAACGGGGGAAAACGGGCAAAAAATGGGGGAAAAATGGGCAAAATGGGCAAAAAAATTGAGAATAAAGGGTTAAAAATGGGGAATAAAGGGTTAAAAGTGGGGAATAAAGGGTTAAAAAGGGATTTGGTGGTATTGGGTTGGACTGGTTTGTACTGGGAGGGACTGGGAGGGGGAAAAATGGGGGAAAACGGGGAAAAACGGGCAAAAAACTGAGTAAAAATGGGGAAAATGGGGAAAAAATGGGGATAAAGGGTTAAAAATGGGGAATAAAGGGTTAAAAAGGGGGAAATGGGATTTGGGGTTACTGGTTATACTGGGAGGGACTGGGAGGGGGAAAATGGGGAAAATTAGGGGAAAAAAGGGGGAAAATGGGCAAAAAATGCGGAAATATGGGAAAAAATGGGTTTAAAAAGGGGATTTGGGGTTACCGGTTTGGACCGGTTTGGACTGGGAGGGGACTGGGTTATACTGGTCCAAACTGGTCCAAACTGGTTTCTCACCTCTCGGCTCCCAGCGCTGCCAGCGCCTGATCCCGCGTGGCCTCGTCCTGCCACAGCTGGAAGAGAAAAACCAGTATGGACCAGTATGGACCAGTATGGACCAGTATGGACCAGTTTGGACCAGTATGGACCAGTATGGACCGGTATGGACCAGTATAAACCAGTATAAACCAGTATAGACCAGTATAAACCAGTATGGACCAGTTTGGACCAGTATGGACCAGTATAACCAGTATAAACCAGTATAAACCAGTACGGACCAGTATAACCAGTATAAACCAGTACAAACCAGTAGCCCCAAAATCCCATTTTAACCCTTTTTTGCCCAATTTTTTCCCCATTTTTTCCTAATTTTTCACCATTTTCCCCCATTTTCCCCCTCCCATCCCCTCCCAGTCCCTCCCAGTATAAACCAGTATAAACCAGTCCAAACCAGTACCAAATCCCACCATTTTAACCCTTTCGTCCCCATTTTTAACCCATTTTTCCCCATTTTCCCCCATTTTTTCCCATTTTTTCCCCATTTCCCCCCGTTTTCCCCCCGTTTTTCCCCATTTTCCCCCTCCCAGTCCAAACCAGTATAAACCAGTAACTCCCAGACCCTCCCAGTACAAACCAGTCCAAACCAGTAACCCCAAAATCCCTTTTAACCCTTTTCCCCCATTTTTCCCCTGTTTTTCCCCATTTTTTCCCCGTTTTTCCCCTTTTCCCCCATTTTTCCCCATTTTCCCCCTCCCAGTTCCTCCCAGTCCCTCCCAGTACAAACCAGTATAAACCAGTACCAAATCCCGCCATTTTAACCCTTTCTTCCCCATTTTAACCCTTTCTTCCCCATTTTTAACCCTTTCTTAGCCGTTTTTCCCCATTTTCCCCGTTTTTTCCCCGTTTTCCCCCGTTTTCTCCCCTCCCAGTATAAACCAGTATAAACCAGTATAAACCAGTACCAAATCCCACCATTTTAACCCTTTCATCCCCATTTTTAACCCAGTTTTCCCCATTTTTTTCCCCATTTTTCTTTTTTTTTCCC